CGGCGGTTGGCTAATGGTCAGCCATAGTCGAGCAGCATTCCCGTCTGGTTTGCGCCCCAAGGTGACATTTGCGGCGGCAACGCGCCGAATGCATGTTTGCATCCGCTGGCGCATGGCTTCATCATTTTCTCCATCCTGCGGCGTAGTGGGGATCAGGACGACGAATCCCCTACGGACTCCCGGCACAAAGGCATCGGACATGTTGAGCTGCAGTTGTAGGTCGCGGGCCATCTCGTTGGCTTTTTGGAGGACTTCACTGGCTTGGGTTTCTGGAGGCCACCCCCCCATGATGAGAGCAGGGACTCGCCCCGTATCCGCAGTCGAAGGGGTACTCCCCGATGCCTGGATGCTCTTCACGGTCGTCTCAAGGTAGCTGATTCTCCCAGCCATAGTTTTCGTATCATTGGCGATGTCGGCGATGCGCAGGGCCTGGTCTGCTTGGTTCGTGGACAAAGTCTCCACGGCTTGGAAAGTGCGGTCATTGTGCTGTTGGAGATTGCGCTCCACTGCCGCTACCCGGTCAGACAGGCCTGTGACCGCTCCTTGGATCTCACCTCGGACAACATCTCGAATGGCTTCCAAACTCAAGCCCTCATCATGGACAGCTCGCTTCTTTTGAGGGGATTCAGATGGCGGTCCCATGTTCCCCTGCATCTGGCTATCTGTCATGTAGATGTTGTTCCGAATCTTGACCTCGGGCGGCGCGGCGAGTAGTGTCGCCGATGCCGTAGCTGGAGAGGTTTGACAAAAGGCTGAAAGGACAGCGCACAGATGCCGTACAAGATTGTTGCACAACAAGTTCCCCGGCCGGAGCGAGGTGGTTGATCAGCGCAGTCAATGCCTTCACGTCCCCGAGCAATGGCGAAGGGAGGAGAAAAGGCACAGGGAGCAGAGCAAGCGCCCGGGTTTATAGGATCGAGGGCCTCACAGAAGAGAGAGCAGGAAAGACAGTGGGGGCGGAGAGGCCCTGACGTCCTTGAACCACTCGCGGCTTGAGCCAAAATGGCTATCCTCTCTCTCTCTCTCTCGCTCTCTCTGCCGATGCATCCAGATTCAGATGGTCTTTCTGTGAACATACTCGTTTGCCACCGCCGGTGGTACGTATACGGTGGACAAGACATTCCCGAGCAGCCGAGGCCACTGCTTCCACTTCATCTCCTTATGGGATCGGCACATGCAGGATCAATCAAAAACCGTTTTTCATTGTGGGCGAGGAGCCGGAATATGAACCTGCGACGGAGCCAGTGCACTGCAATGCACTGCACACTCTCGCGAATTGTCTTACCAGCCTTCATGTCCCGCGCAGTCACGCGGAGAATTTCACCCGTGCTCATCAAGGAAGGGGCGCTCTCTCCTGATCTTCGAACGAGGACATTGTCTCGCAATGAAATCCTGGTCTCATCTGGTCTCCGAAAGCCACGTTTTGGAAATGAGACGTGCCACTGACAAGCAAGCCGAAGGAAAGTTAAATCCTACAGCCCACACAGCTCACGAGTTTCGCTGCAGCACGTATGTAACACCACGAGGTGGCAAAAAGCACGCATTGCTTGCAACTTGTCTGAAACTGCGGCCAGTCCTTGACCGCTTCAGTGACACTTAATTAACGCCAGTTCATCCCTGTGTGCGTGTCCTTCTGCCGGATGCAGGGTGCCACTTTGTGCATCTCCAAACCCTTCCTGTTCAGGTACGTTCTCGACGGAGTCGTTGCTTCGCGTGCCTGAGAGCTTGCACCAACTTACAGGTGCCTTGTGCGACTGTCCCGTGTCTATCGTCGATGCCTGACGTACTGTACAGTGGTAGCAGTGGTCTGGACTATTCACGTTGTGCCGTAAGTATATTCATCCGCAAAGTGCCGTCGAGATGCCTGGTGGCTTCAGCTCGATTCGAAACCCATCCTCTGCAAACAGTATTTCTGAATGAAGTCTGTGAAGTTACGTCGAAACGTGTGCAGGCAAGCTTCGGCCTCGGCTTTGTAATAAACCAACACCAGATGGGCAGAACGCGTGAGTCTACACACGATGTACGGGGACTGCATGTCCTAATCTACAACCTGCACAGGAAGTCATGCGCCTTTTCAAGTTCAGCCTTGAATTCCAAGTTCTCAAAGCTAGATTTGTGTCCTCTCCACACCGGACCAGAGTTTGTTTCCGCAGAGTTCTTTTAGTTCGGCCGCGAGCCGGGCATCCTACGCTAGTCTTCATGTCTTCTGCCGGCATGCCTTGTCAACGGCACAGGAAGACAGATCAATGTTGTCGATGGAGTACTCGTAATCTGACCTCACAGTGGAACACGATAGAGTTTGGCTACAATGCCCATCTCTCTAAGATTCTGCTCACCGGGACATTGGTCTTCAGGCTGAACTGCGGTCCGAGATCGCATCAGAGTCGCTTTCGATCCTGGAATGCCGCCCCAAGATTGCTCTGCACAAGATGATGGGTGACACTGTAGCCCCGCTCCATGTTGATAGCGCCAGGGTTCTTGGGCACCTTGATGACCTTGAGCTGCTCCGATAGAAACTCCAGACAGGTGTCCTTGCTTGCCCGCATGGAGAAAGCTGATTCTACTTGCCCAATACATCCCATCACTAGCCTTCTCTGCAGGCTAGGCTCTGTCACCGTCTTAAGAAAGGCATCACCTCAGAGGACTGGCTTGAGTGGGGTGCCGCCGCGTGGGTTGACGTCACAAGTGCTCCAAATCCGTGAACATCTGCCGTTTCCCGCTGCCTTTGCAAAGCCGGTGATATGGTGATACACCGTGCAAACTTCGGTTGAGGACAGGCACGCTGGCCAGCTTCGTTGGCAACCTCAATTATTTCCGTGCCGAAGCTTCGGAATGGACTGGAATGCACTGTGCGAGTCTTGAAAAGAGACGACTGGCTGCAAGAACTAGCATCCATCAAATCGCTAAGTTGTCACAACTGCAACTGGAAAGCCACTTGGCTGCCCCACTGCTGCCACTCTTGAGCTTGAGATGCCTCGTTTCACAGAACCGACATTTTCTCTCATGACTTTCGGGACAGAAACTGCTCTGTATCATGCTGGCATCTCGGAAGCGTTCGAAGCAGTGCCAATATAGCTTCTTCCTTCTTTTGTACATGGCAGGGCTGCACACCTTTGTGCAAATTTTGCTTCCTCGAATCTGTCGTCCGCAGGTTCGGCTCTTGTCAAGGTCTCACGGAAACACAGCCCCAAGAGCTGCGGGCTCCCGGGATACTTATCCCGCTTGGGAGTCTTGGTTGGCGCAGTGGCACACGGTCCACAATCGATTGGGCACCTCTTACGGTTCTGACGACTCTCGGCACCTGCAGGGCGAGTGTTAAGACTTGCCGGGGATCCGCGCCGGCAGTGCTCCTGGGACCTTTCATGCGTTCTGCAGCTTGTCTTTCGTTGTTTTGGTGTGTTTCTATCTTTTGGCTTGGGGGTGCATGGTTGTTTGCATCCGTCGGTCCTTTGCATTTCGTGCTTCCGGCCGGCCGCGAACAGAGCCCAAGCTCTGGCGCTGAAAGGAGGGCAGGCTTTTTTGCACATACAGCCGTACTAGTCCTGCCGGCTGGTGATCCGGTCTCTGTTTTGCTGCCTGGTTCTAGTCTGGAACCGGGAGAGGGCACGAGAGGGCACAAGGTGGGCCCAATGGAACTGGCTGCAGGGTTCCTCAGCCATGAAACAGCCTTTTTTGCAGCAGAGCTCTTCCAGTCCCGCCGCCCGCCTCTATGGTTGCAAGCCATTTCTTCAGCGCGTCTGGGTCCTATGCGCTATAGGCCGAACTCGCTGCACCAAGCGCAATTGCACCAGACCTCCTCTGCAGAGGCCAGAAGAGTCCGGCCCTGCTCCAGCAGCTGCCCTCAGCTCAGTCTTTCGATCTTTCGGATATTCTCAGACAGGTTTCAGGTACCGAAGGGCATGCTCAGAATGACCATCTCCCTCCTTCTGAGCTCAGGTGCGGCTCCTTGTACTGTCGGAGCTCTCCAGCTTCTGGATGTGCTTGTTGGCATGTTGGAGCAAACCCGACTCAGACTCCAGGCGAGGAAGGAAAAGGAGTGCCTGCTCTGGCTTCGAGTGCATGGGCGCCACTCCCCAGCACCATCGCTACATGTTGCGAGCTGCACGGAACCACAAGATCCACAAGCGCCTTCTTCTGCGCTTCTCGCAGGAACTTTGTTCCGGAGTCCGTGTGCATATACTTCTGCCCCTTCCTTGCATCCGCTAATGCATTCAACGAGGGATAAGCTGACTGATGTCGTGGATTTTTGTCCAAATCAAGCCGAGATTCTCAATCAAAGTGTCCAGCTTCAAATTCCCATCCACCCAGACGAGGCCTGCAACTGCAAAGCCGGCGGGGCTACGTCACACACGCCTTTTGCAGATGAGCTTGCCCACATGTCTATGCAGTATCTGCGAGTCGATGTAGATCCGAAACAGGACGCCCCGGCTGATATGACATTGGGTAGCTTCCAGAAGCAAAGGATTTGAATGTCACGAAGCCTCAACGCAAGAATGAGAAAGCCATGAACAGATTGATGAACGCTTCATACGTGCTTCACGACATCGCCAGTCATGCAGGGCGACATCATACGGCGACATGCATACAGTGGCATAGGCAGCTCGAGTCGAAGTGCGGCTCCTGTCTACAATCTTACTCAGTTACTAGAGCTGACAGAGCCTGCATCCCGTACCAAAGAACAAAACAGTTTACCAATCCCCGACACACACACACACACACATCACACGAAATAGTTCTTTAGATCGTCATCTTGACTTGGCCTAGGCCCGCTGCTCCACTGGTGAGCAACTCACGGCATCGGCCAGTCCAGTCGCCCGCCTTTCGTACCAATTCTACGCATTCTTGGCTCAAGTGGAGTGGATTTGCAGCATCTGGATCAGGCTGAACTTTGCAACCCGTTGTCAGCACCTTGGAGAGGTCCAAGGAGGTGAGAAGACCTAAGCGAACGAAGGAGAGGCCATTTGGTGAAATGCTTTGACTTGAAGGATAGCATTCCAGCACAAGGTAATTATGACATGCCGCAGCTGAAATTTCCTGAAGCGGTCGTGAATTCTCTCGTATTGTTCCCGCAGATTGGGGGTCGCCCCCCTGTACTGCTGACCATCGCTTCCTGCATAGGCATGCTTCGGAATCCTTTTCTTACAAACCGGTTGCATACGTCAGGCGTCGATCACACTCACTGCGAGGTATTGCGCCCTGCGCAGCTGTCTATTGCACTCGATATCACCATGACGGTCGAGGTCCGAAGCGTGCCGTAATTGCTTGATACAGGTAGTGAACCGTGAAAGTTCAGATTCAGATTCTCCTGCTTGCAGAAGCTCGACCATTGCCAGGTCATGTTGTGCTGATACCGGTCGTGAGTCCATGCATGGAACAGTAATCAGAGTCGCGGCTTCGCGACGGATCTCACGCAAATAGGTTCAGCTGAAGTACCTTGAAGTGTCTCTGGGTCCTGGTGCGCCGTGTCCAAAGTCCTGGTCCGAGGAGCAGCAGAAGTGCCTAAATGGCCTTGAATAGCTTGCTTCGACGAAAGAAATGACAGAAGCACGGAACAGCAGGCAGCATTGCAAATCAAATCTGAATGTTAGGCTAGGTGCACCACAGCGAAGCAACCCCGCGCCTTTGGCCCCAGGAGATCAATGCAGCACCCTTGCGGGACTTCTGCAATTGCCCTGTTTCAGTGGGCAAGAAAGCCGCTCGTGCCATGGAACGACAAGCGCTTGGTCAAGCGCCGAACCAAACCCACTCCGTTGTCGATGAAGGAACCCAGATTCGCTACTGAATTATCGAGGACAGGCGGTCTGTGGCTCGTGGCAGCAACGCTGGGTGACACCCTGCTGAGTGCAGCCGAGTATCTCAACAACTCGGCGGCCTGCTGCGTAGGCGGTTCTAGAAACATGCTTCCCCTCAAGAATACCAGCAGTTCTTGCTTGGAATGGACTGTTGCGCCTGCGGGGCTCGGAATTCAAGCTACAGAGTGGAAGATCTGATAGGGGAGAGCCAGGACTGCGAAAGCTTTTGTAGGACTAGGACTAATGCGACCACCAATTATAGCACAAGTCTGAGACTACTAATTCAGAGGGTTAGAATATGTCTGCTGGGCAGGGTAACAACAACATCCATTACCTCCGGAATGCGCATATCCAGCAGAATCGCAGCGTGCTGTGCAGACGAGCCGCAACGGAGTTTGTCAAGGCGCGGTTTAGGGACTGTCAGAAAGGTGGAAATGGCATCAGCTGAACTAGTACAGTAGTATAGGAGGAGTGGGGTCTGAAGCTTCGGGACTGGGCTCAGGACTTACGGCTCCAAGGTGCAAATGTAAGGTACTCTGGCCGCTTGGCAGACTTCACTGGCAATCGACGTCCATTACAGGATGTCCGGGCACAGGCATCATTGGCACCACGCAACGGTCGTTTCGGAGGCAGTTCAATTTCGCCAAAGAGACATGTCAGATATCATGTGAGGATCTCGCGTGCGCATCGTGAAAATGCCGAAATTACGGAGTCTCAGGACTGAGGGTAGTGGGCTGCCAAAGCACGGATGGCTGTGCTGCCTGGTTTACACGCAACAAAGGCTGCGTGAAGCAAACTCTGTTCTGGACGTCTCGTTCGTGGTTAATCGATCGTGTTGCTGGAAGAACTCCATCACATATACCAGAAGGATCATATCATGCTTGAAGAACCGCCTGATCAGAACAAACACGTCATCAACCTCCTGCCAAAAAGACTCAACCAGTTCCGGCTTTACGCAGGATAGATCGGCACTGCGAACTCCGTGCCTGAGCATCAAGTCCTGTGCCGTTTGCTTTAGCATTCAGCATGGCCTCGGCACATCTGCGGAAGCAGCAGGTACCAATGCAGTACTTCACTGACACTTGGAATGGTGCAACACAAATTGTCGTGTGTAAACAGCTGAGGAAACTCCTCGGACTGCAGTCTGGGGTGCTGACCAGCAAACTCAAGGCCTGCGCCTGCGCCGTGCGAAGCACTTCGCGACCTTCCTGGTCATGGACACAGGACCCAGCCCAACGGAAAGAGGCATCGCGACGAGCTCTCTTTCACTCTCTCTTTCCCCATGCGTGTATGTATATATGTATCTATCTATCTGCCGGAGAAGCTGGGACAACCAACAGTTGGCCGTGCGCCTTATTGCACAAAAAACGGCAAGGCTGTGGCCCACTATGAAATATTCAAGAATCCAGTTTCGGCAGGACACCCAGCGGAGGTACCCCCGTTGAAAGGGCGGAGAGTCGCGAACACAAAAGCTTTTGGGACAGTCACTGGGGCACACTATAAGGGACACTGCTCAATGCAGGTAAGCGAGAAGTCGAAAAGGACGTCGAGAACCATTCTCCTCTGTAGACCTTTTTGCCATGGGCTTGCCTGGCGAATGGAGACGGCATCATCCCGCCGACGGTTGGCGTATCCCCTGGGGATGTTGTCATCACGACGAAGTTTGCGCGGCCCTTGGGCCCACTGGACCCCATTCCTTTCTCCGACGGGAGAATGTCCTCCAGTGGCTCCACTCAGGCTCCTCTCTGCGAGGTCGCCAAGCGTGAGCTGCCTGAATTTAGCCGTGTGGAAATCCAAGTCTCGCCCGTGCTTGCTGTGCCGACACCATCGCGAGGGGCATTAGCCCTGCCTGTCGTCGTAGGCGGTGAACTCCACAAAAATAGACGACGCCCATGCATCGGGATCACCAGAGGCCGCGATCAACGGCCCCGGCATCTCAACGGATTGAGCTGGGGCTCGAGTCCAAAAGGTGCTTTCGGGACAGCCACTGAGAAAGACACACGAGCGAGTTTCCACTGCGTTGCGATCCGTGGCACTGAGGAAAATATGTCTGGGAATATTGCTTTGTTTTGCATCATATTTTATAAAGATATGGGATTACCCATTGGTGTTTACTTGCTAAACCGTTTTCCTGCGGAAAAATCAGAAATCGGTCCAACACGGAAGTTCAAGCGACAATACACAAACCATTGCAAAACCTTGCGTGTGGAAAGACAGGGGCCCCACAGCGTTCCTTAATGTATACATTTATATGTGTGTATGTATGTATGT